CTCACATTAATTCTATATACTTATGATAGTTCACCTATTACCATGATTACTTAATCATGAAATGAGGTCATCGTCAGATGAACTGTCAGACGGGCATATACATCTTATAGGCAATGTATATTACCAACATATATAGCTGATATATAATTGCTGATCCATGACCATCATATCGAGGTCTGATTCACCCTGTGAGACAAATATGTCAACCTTACAATCATTCAATACATCATATATTGTTTATGAAATTGAGGGGGAGGACAATTCTTCCACCCCTGTTTTCCTTTCTCCCTCTACAACAATATATCTCCCTATCAAAAAACTTAAATATACAGTTTTTTTTCTATTTTTATTTAAAATATTGTGCGGTAAACAGTGAATGGGGGAGCTTGTTCACTCTTATTTTCCTTTGACATTACTTGAAAACCCTATAGCCTTATTTGTCTTATTACTTGAATCAAACTAAAGTGTGCTATACAATATGTAGGACAAACAATACAGATGTTTTTTAAACGAACATTGGAGCATCTATATAGCTTCCGAAACCCTACGAAATTAAAAAGTTTGATTAACATTCTACCAACATTTAAGTAAACACACATAGTTTTAATTTATAAAATTTCAACAATTCGAAACCGTCCAGAAACAGCAAGGACAATCCCATAAACAATTTGTAAATTCCCGTAAAATTTACGAACATTTTGAAAATAAATCAGAAATTAATAAAAGAGTCAAATAGTAAACAATCATATCATTTCCACATAACAGCATAAGGCCTTCTCTAACATATGAAGGTTCCTACTATGTATTGGTTATCTAAATTACACAAAACTCCGTCAATGATCGTTTCATCTCGGCCTCTAATTAGTGTTCTACAGCTAATCTCTCAGTGCTTTTAATTAGCTTGCTTACTATCAAAGAATTTATCATTAACGTCTGTAATAAAGCATATAAAAATAATGGTATTAAGTATTTCTGTAGTGTAAATTAATCTTTACATTGTTAGATAAATTACGCGGTTTTGATAGTCCTTTCAAGTCGGTTGAAAATTTTAATTTTTCGACCCTTTACACTACACTTCCACACAATCTTATAAAAACCAAACATTTCCTATTTAATTGATTGGTCCTTTGAAAAATCTGAATGCAAATTTATTTGCTGTAACTCATATAAAGCTTTCTTCTGAATGAAAAAGGTAAATATGCTAGATAAACTTACTGGAAGTGTAATGAAATGATTAAAGGTGTAGATTTACTCCTTGACAACATCTATGTACGTTTCGGCTGTACAGTTTGCCGACAGATTGTAGCATGTTGTACCTAAGGGCACCAATTGTGGCCCAAGCATAAATTACAGACTTGTTTCTGTATTGTTATGTATCACATTTTATGTTCAAACTCAGTAAAATCCGTCTAAAGTTCATTTAATTGATAAATTCAACAATACCAACCGTTACAATGATGATATTTTTTCGTTAATAATCAAGATTTCTGTAAGTATACTGCAGAGATTCACTTGTATAAAAATAAGAAGATGTGATATGATTGCCACTGAGACAACTCTCTACCAGAGACCAAATGACTAAGAAGTTAACAACTATAGGTCCCAACATTGTGTATACTCCATTGGTAGTTAAATGTTAACGAAATTCATCTTATGAAGATAATTCATAAATCCTAGTTGCCAACCATTTAAAATTCAGGATACTTACATATAAGGCGTTTTAAATAAAAGAATATATATACCAGTCAGAAATTAAACTCAATCACTATAGTAGAATAATGGAAGGAGAAAACGGACAAGTTGGGTCAATTTTAAGACAACTCGGGCCACTTATAGCCTATAGCCTTATTTGTCTTATTACTTGAATCAAACTAAAGTGTGCTATACAATATGTAGGACAAACAATACAGATGTTTTTTAAAGCAACATTGGAGCATCTATATCGCTTCCGAAACCCTACGAAATTAAAATGTTTGATTAACATTCTACCAACATTTAAGTAAACACACATAGTTTTAAATTTATAAAATTCCAAAAATTCGAAACCGTCCGGAAACAGCATGGACAATCCCATAAACAATTTGAAAATTCCCGTAAAATTTGCAAACATTTTGAAAAAAAATTAGAAATTAATAAATGGGTTTCTAATATGCTCATTTCTAGAATAAGAAACAGTCTTCGTGTATTTATTAGTAAAGCGGTTTGTATTCTTTCCGACCGAAAAAAAAAACAGCCAAAAGTGTGGAGGAGGTATGACGTAAAATTCTACACAGAAGTTCTTACGAATGAAATTATGAATTCTTCCACCATCAGGCCGTGCCTTCCATGGAGAGTCAAATAGTAGACAATCATATCATTTCCACATAACAGCATAAGGCCTTCTCTAACATTTAGAAGCTTCCTACTATGTATTGGTTACCTAAACTACACAAAACCCCGTCAATGATCGTTTCATCTCGGCCTGTAATTTGTGTTCTACAGCTAATCTCTCAGTGCTTTTAATTAGCGTCCTTACTATCAAAGAACTTATCATTAACTTCTGTAATAAAGCATACAAAATAATGGTATTAATTATTTCTATAATGTAAATTAATCTTTACATTGTTAGATAAATTACGCGCTTTTGATAGTCCTTTCAAGTCGGTTGAACATTTTAATTTTTCGACCCTTTACACTACACTTCCACACAAAAACCAAACATTTCCTTTTTAATTGAATGGTCCTTTGAAAAATCTGATTGCAAATTTATTTGCTGTAACTCATATAAAGCTTTCTTCTGAATGAAAAAGGTAAATATGCTAGATAAACTTATTGAAAGTGTAATGAAATGATTAAAGGTGTAGATTTTCTCCTTGACAACATCTATGTACGTTTCGGCTGTACAGTTTGTCGACAGATTGTAGCATGTTGTGCCTAAGGGCGCCAATTGTGCCTCAAGCATAAGTTGCAGACTTGTTTCTGTATTGTTATGTTTCACATTTTATGGTCAAACCCAGTATACCAACCGTTAAGATGATGATATTTTTCGTGAATAATCAAGAGTTCTGTTAGTATACTGCAGAAATTCACTTGTATAAAAATAAGAAGATGTGATATGATTGCCACTGAGACAACTCTCCACCAGAGACCAAATGACTAAGAAGTTAACAACTATAGGTCCCAACATTGTGTATACCCCATTGGTAGTTAAATGTTAACGAAATTCATCTTATGAAGATAATACATCAGGTAATACATAAATCCTAGTTGCCAATCATTCAAAGTTCAGGATACTTACATATAAGGTGTTTTAAATAAAAGAATACCAGTCAGAAGTTAAACTCAATTACTATAGGAGAATAATGGAAGGAGAAAACGGACAAGTTGGCTCGAATTTAAGACAACTCCGGCCACTTATAAAACACTTTATAGAACAGTCAAAATCATATCAGTATTAATTTAGAAGGGATCCTTCAATAAGGAGATACATAAACGGCACTAATCATATCGATTCCATGACTTTTTGTCTTTGATGCAATTGGCAATCGTACCACATCTCCTTATTTTTATATTGAACGAAAATTGATCAGAAAAGGAAAGAAAAATCTACTAATAACAGACAAAATTCAAATGAAAACAAGAGGACCGATAAAGAAATGCGTTTCATTCACAAAAATATATGCATTTAACCCCCACCCCCGAAAAAAAATATAAAAAACAACAAAAACCATCGGTCCAAGCAGATGTTAAACATACAACAAATGTTGACGTATCTCTTTATTTATAAGTAACATGACCAAAATATACAGCAAGAGAAAAAAAAAGACCGGACTATGTAGTTAAGTGATTAAGAGGCTGGTGTAAATTAAATTAAAAAAATTAGGCATACAGTCAAACACTTGCAAAATGATAATAAATTAGCTAGACCTTAAATGGTTGACTCCTCTATATATCAAAGCGTGTGTGTAGATACCAATCCAGGTAGGTATCAAGACAGTTCGCTTGTACAGTTTTGTTATGTTAACTTCTAACCATGCATTCATTTTAATGAATTTGGGGAAATCATTTAGCTTTAACGACGCATAGACCTTATTTATGAATCAATACATACGTTTGAGCAAAATCAGTATTTTGGGAAAACATTTGACTTTTAACGACCTATAGACCTTATGTATGAATCAACCATTCGTTTGTGTAAAATTAACTGATCTTTAATATGTACATGTATAAAAGGAACTGTGTGGTAAACGTTATAGTAAAACAGGAACTTAAAACACCAGCTGGCATCAAAATAAGACTTTTAAAAGTAATCATAGTTTCTGTCTTACGATACACATACACCGACACCTTTAAATCTGTATATGTTCTAAATTACCCATTCTAGATAAAAAAAAGATTCGATTCAATAGAGCTAATCAAGTTATATTATCGACGTAAAATATGATTAATTAATTGCTCTTTATTTAACGTCCATCGTCAAATATTACATACATATTCAGGACATGAACAAATTAAACAATCTATCAACTAGAAAGATTCAACAATACAGTTAGATTGGTAAGGAGTTGGAACAGCCAAAAATAGGCAAAAAATAAAGAATAGACAATAATGCGGTGCTAAAATATAAAGTAAAGAGAATAATGGGAAAATTTATAAAGAATAGAGAAAAATGGCTTGCAAAAATAAAGAATTCAAAATTGAAGGACGCTGCATCCATACCTTCATTTGTATTTTCGACACAGCCAAATGGACACCTCCTTACCATGGCCTATATGAAGTGCAGAAAAATAACCATATTCCTAACCCCAGTTTACCAATGGTATGATTTATTAAGAACAATTTCATTAATATGCAGATTAATTAGAATGTCAGATGTCGGAAAAGTAACAATGAGAATATTTACAATTTTATGTCCTTTTTCAGATCTAACTAAAAAACATCCAGAGAACCACAATAGACAAATGACTAAGCAATTAAAAAATAATGTATTAAAATAGGAAAAAATATGATTATATAAATCTTTAGTTTAGTGTTCTGATCATCATTTTCACCGATTTAAGTGAGTAGTATAAGCCATGCCATGCTGGCCAATTTATGCCCTTTCCATATGGACTGGATCCCGAAAGATACCGTCCATTCAGGTTAGCATCATGACAATGATCGTACCACCAGCCTCCATGATATAGTTTAGCACATTTCCTGGTATCCATGTCGTTGTCCCTATCAAAGGTAGAAAACAGCTTACCACTATGATATGCCATCGAATCTCCTAAAATTTAATTTGATTTTATTAATTCAATGATAATTATAAAATAAGAAGATGTTATTTGACAAAATATTGTGTCTAGATAACTTAGTAGTGCGGCTCTGAGATAGAATAACTGTTTATCATGTTCACTGGTATTAAGCAAATTTAGCAAATAATTTATAATTATGAATTTGAAAATTATTTCCCGCATTTTGGTGATTGAACTTTTATTCAAAAAGATGTGTGTTTTAAATAAATTTAAAAAAAAAATCCTCTAGATGTAACATTATTTTTTCAAGCGTTTCAGATGGTTCAGTTTCTAGTTCCTTGATTCAATCGTTCCAAAATAGTATTTTCAAGTAAAATTTCGTAATCGAATAATATTTCTTAATGAATTAAAAAAAAATTACGTTTTTATATGTTTTATACGATTAATCTTTTTTTTAAAGTTAGTCATTTCTTTCAATTTCCGCAATGAAAGTAAACTTAGTAAGTCCTATCCCTATTCGGTTCTGTGACTGAATGTTAGGGTATTTTCAGTAAATGCTCCATGTTGATGGCATCACTGTGACTTTGAGATGGGGAACAGCAACCAAAAGCGCGGTTCCTTTGCATTTTTCATGTGTGTGTAATAATGTTATTTCCTGAATTCATACCTTTTCTTTTATACAATTTTAAGTTCGATATAAATTGTTGATAACAAATATACCTGCATTGCCACTGTATCCAAACACTGACATCTCATATTCACCTTTCTCATCCCCAACCATGAACATTGAATATTTAGCGTATTTGGTGTGACCTTCAAAGTCGTACATGTCAATTCTTAATTCATGTCGGGTATGAATGGTTATCTCGTGAATGACATCGTTTCCTGACAAAATATCAATAATATATTAAATAAACACAAATAATGGGTAGTATACGTATACACTTATTAAAAGGTCATTAGCTGTCAAATTCTTGTTCACCAATTTGACTCAAATTCTCATATTTGATTTATAACATACTAAAACGTAAATTTAAATTATAAAATTCTTAAATAAACAATTTAAAATGCATGGGCTCGATAATATGTATCAGCATTTCGTGGTTTTTTTTGGCAGTGTCTGCGCGTACCCGCATGCGGGTACGAATAGTCAAATTGCCATTCATAGGCTACGCGTACCCACATCCGGTTTTATAATAAAATGCCATCGGATTGGGAATGAAACGTGAAATATATACGGAAATTATCGATAATATGGGGATTTCGTGTAGAACGAGTGAAGAGTATGAAAAATAATATTTTCAAATTGTATTTATTAGATAATGATACATAATAAACATTGCAAATTAAATGCACACTGATGGAAAATGAAATTGTACAGTCCCTGTAAAAGAAGAACATGATAAAAATTAATACTATTATAAAATGTAAAATAAAATGCAAATTTAAAGAATAAAATTTTACTGATTTTGAAAAATACCCATATCAGATTTTAAAATAATCTTTTAGTAAAATGTAAAACAGAAACTGAAATTTTAAAATATCTTAAACAACTAAAATTAAAGCTTGGGTGTTTATATAAAAATTAGAGAAGCAAGTAATAATGTCAAATTAAACCAATTAATATAAAAGATTCATGTAGCTAATTAAGATTTGGAACAAATTTTACGTATCCAATATGATTGTTTTGGCACATATTTCAACCCTGAACATTTCATATGTTGCCAGTCCAAACAACAATCACAGGCCAAAGAGTCCTGATCGTGTAGGTTTTTTTTGACATTTGATACATATCCATTCGCATGATTCTCTTCTTTCGTTGATCCGAATTTTAAGTTGCTTCCACGCTTCAAAGGTAAATTATTTTTTGATGCGCTGAAGGTTTACATTTTCGTCAAATATTTTGTTATTTATTAACGAAGCATCTAGAAGATTATTGGCATCGGCCTTTGTTTTATCAGAAATAATTTTTGTGTTTCCAGTTCTTCTTTTCTCTGCAGCTGCAATTGACTCCGAGTTTCTTTTATACAATTGTATAAAATTAATCGACTGATAGTTCTGAACAAATTGTTCCAATTCGTGATAACTTTGAAATGTCTTCCCCACATGTATATCACTCTCTTACATTTTAAGAATATTTATTAACTGAGAAAAACTGTTCACTTACCTATATATAAATATTCATAAAAATTCTGAGTAGTTTTAATCAATTTATTCACTAATTGCGACAAATTCCGTATATATTTCACGTTTCATTCCCGATCCGATGGCATTTTATTATAAAACCGGATGTGGGTACGCGTAGCCTATGAATGGCAATTTGACTATTCGTACCCGCATGCGGGTACGCGCAGACACTGCCTTTTTTTTTAGTCTAGACGCCATTTAATTAACCATCGAGGTAACCCCCGAAGACTGCCGACGGTCATATAACCCGATATAAACATAAATATAGATATAAATAGATAACGAACTCTAGGTCTAGTTCTGTTTGATTCTATATTATAGGTTAAAACTATATGTTAATCATCGTTTTTAACTGTACAAGAATAAGTTTTTGTGGATCGAATGAATCAATCAAATGGTTAACCCTTGTTTCACTTGTCAATGTTGACAGTCTTTTCCATTTAATAACTGAACACGCCTAATTCATGCGTAGCCCATCTCTAGCTAAGGGGTTAAATTGAAGGTCACGTGAATACGGATTCAATAAGCATGTGAAGAATTCATCAGCGATGTTTCTTAGCTATGACACCAATCTTTTCTGACACCAAACAATCAATCATATTTCAAACTTATTTTGACTAATCTAAATTGAACCAAATTGGCTTCTAAAAGCGAATTATTATTTCACAATTTCACTTACTTTAATGATTGAACAACAAAAATCTTACTTTTTTTATATCTCGTAGCTAATGCCCCTTTAATAGTTCAGCTATTTCAAATAAATGTTTTCGCCGTAACATATGTCATATGAACTGATACAGCGCTTATCTGACATCAATCAATCAATCAATCGATCTATTTATTTATAAATACTGCTTCGCACAAATCTCGAAGGCGAGACATAGTGATAGTACATTATGTCGTCGGCAACGTCGGTGTCATCAACATTTAGGTTTTAGTGGTAAAGTTGTATGTAGACATCAAACATTTTTTTAAAGCTTCATGGAAATTTACATGACAGGCGGAAACTCAGTTGAAATTTAACAAAAGAAATGGAACTCTTTGTTAGAGAAGGTAAAAAAGGCGAAGTTGGTAAATTTGAATTGTTTACATCTGTTTCTATGGGCTTTAAAAGTTTAATAAATGTGCCTAATTTAGGATTTTATGCATGTTATATATGTGTTTTTACTTAAATTATTGAATTGAGCTTCGAGATATTTGTAAACTTTTAAATTATAGACAAAGTTTCGCAAAACAGTCGATTGTGGTAGGTGCAAATTCTCGTGGATCTTTTTTGTGCATAAGCATAAATTTCGCAGAAAAAAATTCCAAAGGAAGATAATCGATTTATCCTTTTAAAGCATCAATTTGCATATCTGCCCCCGGTGACAGTTTTTTGGGAAAAAATCCCCAAAATGGGCAATAATTTCATCGAAAAGAGAAAGTTGAGTACACCTTTTTAGGTTCAGGCGTGTTTGAGTTGACTATTCTGTCTTGAAAACGTATAAAAGAAAGATATTTGATACATCATCTCGCTTCAGATTTTATTATTTCTATATCTTTAGGCTGTAGGTTGATACAATAATATTAAAAATTTACCGTACTAAAAGGTGAAATATATGGGCAGGCGAAATACCTTTCTAATGAGTCATAACAACAGATTAGGTGTGTTCGAATAACAAATTTTTACTAAAAGTGCTTGACGACAATTTTTTCTGGTGGATCTTAAAAATGCATAATTTAAAAATAAAATCATTTTTTTGTGTGTGTTATCTAGGGTAATTATTCTTCAACCTAGTAGATACATTTGTCTTTTAAAATACAACTGGCATATAATGATCGTATTGTTACTATGTGGATAAACTTATCGGTTTTCCAGGGCTAAATTGACAGCGCGTCATCACTACAATGGCTTCTATTTTTACGATTATAAAAATTAAGTGGCGTAATGGGGAGATAATTTTGACGAAGTAGAATCCTGACTGATGAATTGAATGGAAACTTCTTTTTATGGATTTTGTTTAATAAGTTAATATTAAACAAGAATGTGTCCACAGTACACGGATGCCCCACTCGCACTATCATTTTCTATATTCAGTGGAACGTGAAATTGGGGTCAAAACTCTAATTTAGCAATAAAAATTAGAAAGATCATATCATAGGGAACATGAGTACTAAGTTTCAAGTTGATTGGACTTCAACTTCAGCAAAAACTTCCTTGATCAAAAACTTTAACCTGAAGCGGGACAGACAGACGGACGAACAGACGAACGGACGCACAGATCGAAAAACATAATGACCCTAGGTGGGGCATAATTATAAAACAAGAACCTACCTAACCAATATTCCCCGTTTATGTTACCGAAGCCCTCTTTGTACGTCTCCCAATTCCGTTCAAAGTCCACGGATCCGTTTATACGTCTTTGTATTACCTAACAAAGTAAAACGTGAATTATTTTGGAGGTAATATACAATATACACCACAAAATCAGTGCAATTAATAAAGGAACATATACCAGTTACAAGATAGGCGATAAAAGTCGGGTGCGGATCAGGATTTTGAAACGCTTGAAGTGATACTTTAAAAATCTCAATGCATTCATCATATATGAAGCACCATAAAGGGGGTGGGTCCACTGCCTACTCCGCCCCTCAATCCGCCTCTGCAAGTTGGTTAATATAATTTATACGTAACGCATGTATCCGGTATGAAAATCAATGGGACATATTTGACATTTGAGTTACAATGTATTGTCCGTTTATCGAAAGAAATCTCGGGTCTAGAATTCGACAGTCAAATCTTTGCTGAAGGACTGTCAATATACTATGCATATTAGTAGATTATATTATGAATCGAATATTTTTAAGGATTTTTGATCGTTAAAACTTGACCACATGTACATTTGTATTTGCTCAGTTTGCACGCCAATACTGTTGTGTTTAGCTTTTCGTAGGTCAAAAACAGCATATTGCACAAGGCATACAGCATGTTACTAAAAATAGATTCTAGAAATCTCCAATTTTACATTGTTCATGCTATAGTTGTTGATTAATAATATAACAATTGTAGCCTTTGGTTGAGGTCAATACGATGTTATATCGACCCAGAGAAGCATATCGACCTCGGACTTCGTCCTCAGTCTATATGCTTCTCTTAGGTCGATATAACCTCGTATCGACCTCATACACAGGCTATAATTGTATAACACTAACATAACATCATGTATCTTTTTTAAACACAAAGAAAATAAAAAAAAAATTCAGACTATGATATAAGTGTTTGATGGTTTTTAGATGTAAGAAGATTACAAATGTGTCGAGTTTTGTGATTGGATAACAACACAGAGATGTCTGTATATATTCACGAAACTGCCGGGGTATATATGACGTTTTATCCCAATTTAAACCTCATCAACGTCATCATAATGAACGTTACATATAGTGTTAAGCTGTACAGAACACTTCAAATGTCAGAGGCTCACAGAAGGGAAATAATGACGTTTATCCGTCAATAATATGTTTTAAATCAAAAATGCCGCGATTTACACATCAAATACTTAATTAATGTCTTAAAGTGTTATTACATATGATTGCATACACGAAAGAATTATTTTGACAGCAAATTACAAAGTCCTTCACGTATGCGGAAAATATCAGTTTTTTTTATTGGGTTTTTCAATATTTTTGATTTCAAAAAGTCAAAATTTAAAAAAGTCACAAACATGCAAACAGTATACATGAAATCTAAAATCTTTACTGAAAAAATATTCTTAACGAAAAAAATATTTCTCAAGATGAAAACCTTGCATTTAAAAGAATTACCCCAAATTTTAAGAAATAATAAACATATACTGAATATATATACTGCATGGTGTACGTTTAGCAAATACCTGGTACTGGAAATGAATTAATTAAGGCAGGGGTAATCCGTAATATATGTGTAATTCAGGTTTCAGACAGGGTATATAATGTGACCTGAATAACATATAATATACACCATGTGACAACTTTATGACAGACATTCTCCATCGGCATCGAATAACACGTGGTTATACAGGGCTAAAACCATATTATATATATAATTCGTCTCAAATTTAGCCCAACAATATTATATCATCAAATTTGCCTTGGAAATCTTAATATGTTCTTTTCTCTGCGTGATTCAAACCCTAGCTTCTGTGACATCGTGGCAACACCGCCTGCACCGTGTCCAGCGCCCTAGACCACTCGACCACCTAGGCTACATTAAGATATAGCTTTCGATGGTCGATGTAATACCTTTCCCCGTCGGCTTTTTCTATAGGGTTGTAACACAGTACATGATATATAGTGGCAAGTAGATGGTATACCGTTCAGATCAGTTATTTTGTCTGTCGTAAAGGATGATAATGTTAATTACCATGCAGCCACATCAAACTTTAATTTTATTATACACGTCTAAACATGCGACAACTTTATGACAGACATTCTTCATCGGATAACACGTGTTTATACAGGGCTAACACCATAATATATAAATATAATACGATATTTATTCACTCTCGACAGTTAAATTTGAAATACTTAAAACTCTCGGCAGCGGCATCGCGTTATAAATTTGAAAATGTAACTGTATCGGGTGGATAAATACCGTATCACATTCGATGCAGTGGTAGAATATATATATAAATAAGATCCTTACAAGATACATTTACGGAAAAATCCAAAATACATTTATGAAAATAATCATTGTCATTACATAAAAGTCTATATTATCTAAATTTAAAAAAAAAAGAAAACAGTAACGCCAAAAGAACAAAAACAGACACGTCAAACGAATAACCAAAATGAAAACGAAAAGGAAAGTCAGAAACATTTCAAAAGGACTAGAAAACAAAGCAACGTGAAAGATATACAAATGACAACTAATTCGTCTTGACTGTATAACATACATGTATATTTATCTTTAATTCTATGTGTTGGTTTGTTTTAGTTAATTGCATTAGTGGGATTTTTCAGGGGCTTTCATTCAATACGACGAGATTTTTCTTCTCTTTTCTTCCTGGTCGTGAATAGAAAGTTAATTTACCGTCCATTTTCCTTGTTCGGTATGCATATCACAAAAGACAGAAACTGCTGATATTCCATCTGGATATATCTTATATTCACCATCAGGATGCTGTCCTGATATATCAGCACATTCCCTTGGTAAACCTGTTTAAACCGGTAGAAATGTACATTATAATCACCCGAAATTCAACTGAATATTTTTATCAAATAAATAAAATAAATATAGTGCTAAAAATTGTATTGTATGGATAATTTGATATAAAAAAATGATTATTAATAGAACGTCACCAAATGTAAGTCAAACAAAAAATCAAAAACCAATATCTTTGTGAACGATTTTGTTTTTCACCAAAAGAATCTTTATATTTCCACTTTCTCCTATCAAAGAGAATTAAAATGCAACTAGGTCTAATCATTCATACCTTTCAGGCCTAAAATAAAATTTCATTTGTTTGGCATTGCTTCCCGACCCACTGGAAAACTTGCCGCCCAAAAAATTTTATTTGCATTTCAGAATTTTTTTTTTTTTTATTTAAAAAAAATCGAAATTGTGCCGGAATTTGATCGTATCCGCCGATTTTGTTCCTAGCTTTACTTATCACGATCACGATTTTAAAAGCGCTTGCCTTACACTGAATTGGGAGCAAACATTTAAATTACATGGAATAGAAAATGTCTGCCAAAAGTAATGTCAAAGAGGCCGGCAGGGGGAAGCATCTCCCTATGCTGCAATGCATTGGTTAAGGGAGATGGATTTTTATCAAAAATCAAATTTTCAGCTATTCTTTGAAAGAAACGTTCTGAGAGACCTTGTAGAGGACTCAAATTTTATATTTTGTAAAGCAGAAACAGTTGATGTCTGCTTGACTTTGTCGCTTTATGAGATAGAAGCTTTTCACCGGGACATCACAGAACAAATATGCGTGGCTCTTACATTAATTGAATTTATTAAATATTTGAAATTTATCATGGACAAATTTTCCCTTGAATCAGAGAACAAAGTATATACTATAGTCAGAACCACAATGATGCATTCAAGATAATTATGCGGCTGAAAGCACCAAAGCTAAAAGACCAAAATGGTCCCAGATTTACAGGTTTATAGTAGTTTTGTACCAGTAGATGCTAGCCTGGTACAAAACATACATATTTAAAGACTAGCATCTTGTGTCAATTGAAGTACTTCCTCCTTTTATTGCCTTTCTTCTTAACATGAATAAGATAATTATTCTTAAAACATAAAAGATACTGACAGAAACATATTTATACATGTATCTAGTGTACTAGTGATGAATAAAATCCCCTCCTTTTCCACAATTCTAAGGGCTCATTAATTTATCTGTATTCATGTAATGCATGTCCAGATTTCTGTTAATCAAACAAGCATTACAACCCATAATTTATCCGCAAAAATTGTCTGTCCTGCTGCATATTTCTATTTTGAATTTATCCTACGTTTAAACCTAGCACTGAAAAACCTGGCACTTGGATAATATTAGTATAAACAACAAGTCTATTTGTGCCAACCTTCCAAATTTTTAATATTTTGCTATCCTAATTTGGTACAGATCCTTTATCCTCAAAACTTATCAGGGGCAGTAGGCGTGTTTGTATGGTAGTTTGTCACACCTTACATGTATAATTACTAGCCTCTAGGTGTTGGTTTGAGCCCTAGTTGGGCAGTTGCAAAGTTAAGGTTTGATTTTCATGTTATATGTAATAAAGTTAGTCAGTTTCCTCCCGCAGGTTGGCACTTTCCTTCAAGTACTACGGTTTAGTACGCCAACAAAACTGACTGCCATGAAATTACCCATATGGTGTAGAAAGTGATGTTTATAAAACCAAAGCAAACAATCAAAGTTTTAAATCATTGTCTATTTGTACAAGGAACCGTAGTGGTTGAGCCATTTAAAATATGGTAATTTTACCAAACTGTGACCACAACTTCAAGATGTGACATCAGGTCTCTGTTCAATGGGCAGTCCCACAATTAAAGTTCAATTTTCACGTCATAGATTTTATATGGTTAATTTGTCAGTTTCCTGCCTCAGTTCTGTGGGTTTTTTTTCTGGAAACTTTGGTTAACTCTGACAATAAAACTGACTGTCTTACATAAAATTATCCATATGATGTAGAATGTGACATTGACGGTTGACCCCTTTCAAAGAAACCATCAGCATGTACACACAACAATGCTGCAATGCTTTAGACACCATTGATCTAGAGACCATGATTTACATGTATAAAGCTTTTAAATATAAAAAAAAATAATCTCCCTACCTACCTACCCACCTGCTGATAGTGTGGGTCGGCAATGCCAAACAAACAATTTTTAAGGGTGGCCTCAGTGGCACATCTGCGTGTGTTAATACCCCAAGTTTTTTACTTTTATAAGTTCATATTGTATCTTCTTTCGATTGCGATATTTCTACCGTTTACATATTATGTTTTTATGCTTAATTTCAGTCCTTTCTGATTTGAGTCGGATGTGTAATTGGACATTGGATTTTCGATATGTATTTATTTCATTAAACCCTATAGTTACTTCTATTCTCTTTTAATTTTTCTATCAAAACTAGTATTTGAATATTGACGATGCCGAAATTACTCATTAATGTACGAAAAATTATAGAGCTTCCTTCACAACAAAGTATCTCGTTTTCTTTAGGAAAATTGTTTTCAATGCTACTTTCATTATATTTTCACGATCTTTGGCTAGATCTAGATCTGTTGTAAATCCTTTCCGTATTTTGTCCTTTTTAGTTAGGTCCAATAAAAAAATTATGCAGTATTGTAAATTAAATGAATGGAATTTACAAACACTGCAGTCAAAACAGGCTATTTGTAGAAAAACTAAACAAGACTTAGTCTATAAGAAGTGGTATTGATACAATGTCGGTGAAAAATGTATTACCAACGCGTCGAACACTTTATGTGTTGCATATGAAACAATTTTACACGAATGAAACATTCAGCTGGTGTTTGGTCATACATAAATAAAACTGTACTCAATATTCGGATTACAAAAGTTGAACTTGAAACACCAAATCTAGTCTTTTTATTGGTTGATTTCTGAGTCTGAGTACGATAATAGTACTCAAAAATTTTATGACAGCAAAGCCTGTATTTTGATAAGTTGATTTTGAGTCGAAGTACAAAAAGTTACCTTTAACATAATCGTGTTCGCATTTCAAATCAGTATTACAAGTTCTTGTTTTGTTACAACATGATGTACAAGAAATACTGTGCCCTTCACTTCGACGTCCAAACATCCCACCAATATTGTATCTACAAAACTACAAAAACACAGTTGGATAAATAAACACGGGTTGAAATAATAATAATGGTAATAATATTATGTTCGTTGAAAGTAGGAGTCCAATGCATTAAGACAAAATATACGTAATTGGGGGAGATTTTCTATTTTGGTGAAACTTGGATGTAATTTACGAAAGCCTATTAGGGTCACAAAAAAAAAATATTTATCGCGTAATTACGAGATAAATATCTCGTTATCTCGTAATTACGAGAAAACTATCGCGTAATTACGAGATAATTATCGCGTAATTACGAGAAAACTATCGCGTAATAACGAGATAATCATGTTTTATCGCGTAATTACGAGAAAACTATCGCGTAACTACGAGATAATTATCGCGTAATTACGAGATAACTATCGTAATTACGAGATCATCATCGCGTAATTACGAGAAAACTATCGCGTAATTACGAGATAAGAAGTTTTTTATCTAGTAATTACGAGATAATCATTTTTATACGCCCGTTTACGGGACGTATTATGGTAAACCGTTGTCCGTCTGTCCGTCTGTCCGTCCGTCGTCAACATGTCTGACATTAACTCAAAAACGCTTTAACTAATTTGCATAAAACTTTGGTGAATTGTTTATGTCTATTGACGTGAGCTCCCTTTCGATTTTTATATATTTTAGATTTTACGTTTCCGAGTTACAGGGTTTTATTCATAAAAAAAGGGGGATTTTCCAGTTTTCGAACAAAAAATCAAAAATGCTTTCAGCAGTTCTTATAAAACTTTGGTGAATTGTTTATATCTATTGATGTAAGCTCTGTTTAGAATTTTATAAATTTTCATTCATCATTTCTGAGTTATTGGGTTTTATTCATTAAGAAAGGGGTGATTTTCCAGATTTCGGACAATAACTCAAAAATGCTGTCAGCAATTCTCATGAAACTTTGGTGAATAGTTTATATCTAATGATGTAAGCTTCCTTTACATTTCATAAATTTCTAATATGACATTGAGAATTAATTGAACTTTATTTGTTTATAGTCTGACAACAGATTTACTAAGTATTGCGCAACAGAACAGTGTATTGCACAACAGCAAGAAATCTTTAATTGAATATAAATTCAATTCATATAACCAATTTCAAGTTCTTTGACTACTTTTATTCAGAAACCTATAATATGTCAAATATTTAATTACAATCCAAATTCAGACCTGTATCAAGCTTGAATATTGTATCTATTTTTGCCCCAACTGTTCAGGGTTGGACCTCTGTGGGCGTATCCAGCTGCGCTCAGCGAAGCAGTTTATTTTATATGATGTCCTCTTGTACACCTATGTGTCTGAGGTTTAATAATAAAGTATTGTCTATTGTCTATTTCGTAATTACGCGATAGTTTTCTCGTAATTATGCGAAAGTTTTCTCGTAATTACGCGATGATTATCTCGTAATTACGAGATAAAAAAATGATTATCTCGTAATTACGAGTTAAAAAATTATTGTCTCGTAATTACGCGATAGTTTTTATTAATATTTTTTTTTGTGACCCTAATAGGCTTTCGTAGTAATAAGTGATTGACATACATCTGAATATTAAAAAAGTGATATAAGTAACTTTTATACTACGCATATTTTTTTTACGCGTTTTACGTTCATTCTATACATGTACAGATGTATTTCACAATTTAATTTGTATTTACTGTATTTCTGGAAGTATACATGCTTCATATAAGATTTTTTCGATAGTTAAATGCAGCTCAACGAGTTCTAGGTGTGTACAATTTTCATTAAAAATAAGTGAACAATAACATCCTTGCAAGAAATGATACTTAAATTGGCAATATCAAATGCTAAACTTAGAAAGAAATTTGTATCTGTTATTATTATTGTACATGTCATATTGTAAATACCTGCTCATATGCACATCCTAAATCATACAAAACTGAACCAGATTCTGTGGTGTGTTTCTGGACAAAACATACCTGAAACAATAGAAAACGTGAACAAGCAGACTATGTATCGGTTTTTCTCATTGTTAAAGGCTTTACGGTGGCTTATAATTGCTGACATCTACTTCATTTGAATTCTGGGGGTAGTTGTCTCATTGGCAATCATACCACATCTCTTTAATTTTATATTGATATCCAGTTAAGATTGAACGATATAAATGGAATTCTTTATTATAAAAGGCAAAAAAAAACCTGCGATAGTTGACCTTTTTGGAATATTTACATCTATCTCTATCGCCATACAAAGACCAGGCTGAAGCTAGCGAACAATAACTAGCGAACAATAAGCCAGCGAACAATAAGGCGATATATCTAAAAACCGAAAAAATGAATAAGACAGCAACGGCCGTTAAATGAAAAATATTTAAACAGGCAGAAATTCCGTCCAAATATTGCAATTTCAACTCTATCATGAAATGGTATTTATCCCATCCATTGATAAAACAAGTCACATATCTTTTTAGGCTAATATTCAGTACCACAGTAAATCTGCATCTGTCAACGGATTATTTGTAGGTGTAAAACCACCAATGCACCCACTTCCATTTAGTACGTATGTAAAAGTAGTCCTTCCCTGTAAAATACAGCACCTTTGATGTCATTGTTTAATTGAACAAAGATACACATTTGCAGAAATGGGGGTTGGCCTATTCCATGGCTTCTTGAGAAAAATAATGAGGGGTGTCACGGGGTATGACTATATAGGTTTTGTAGAGGAGAAACAGGCGCATCTTTTGCGCACGGTATCGAAGGGCGCTAAGTTTAAAAATCTGAAACTAGAGCTCAAAATTTGAAAAAAAATTGTTTAAAACAGGGGGGTTGGCCTATTCCATGGTTTCTAGAGAAAAATAATGAGGGGTGTCACGGTGTATGACTATATAGGTCTTGTAGAGGAGAAACAGGCGCATCTTTTGCGCAAGGTATCGAAGGGCGCTATGTTCAAAAATCTGAAACTAGAGCTCAAAACTTGAAAAAAACTGTTAAAAACAGGGGGGTTGGCATATTCCATGGCTTCTAGAGAAAAATAATGAGGAGTGTCACGGGGTATGACTATATAGGTCTTGTAGAGGAGAAACAGGCGCATCTTTTTGCGCAAGGTATCGAAGGGCGCTATGTTCAAAAATCTGAAACTAGAGCTCAAAATTTGAAAAAAAAATGTTAAAAACAGGGGGGTTGGCCTATTCCATGCTTTTTAGAGAAAATAATGAGGGGTGTCACGGGGTATGTCTATATAGGTCTTGTAGATGAGAAACAGGCGCATCTTTTGCGCAAGGTATCGAAGAGCGCTATGTTCAAAAATCTGAAACTAGAGCTCAAAATTTGAAGAAAAAAAATTGTTAAAAACAGAGGGTTGGCCTATTCCATGGCTTCAAGGGAAAAATAATTAGGGGTGTCACGGGGTATGACTATATAGGTCTTGTAGAAGAGAAACAGGCGCATCTTTTGCGCAAGGTATCGAAGGGCGCAAGTTCAAAAATCTGAAACTAGAGCTCAAATTTGAAAAAAAATGTGAAAAACAGGGGGGTTGGCCTATTCCAT